TGAACCACCAGGAAAAAAAAAAGAAAGAAAATCAACCTTCTTCTGGTGGTATCTGACTCAGATAATGAAAATGAACATATGTTGGTCCGCACTGCTTTGGATTCTTATTGAGCAGAACCCGTCATCAGCATGGACGCATGTCTCCTGGAATGGTGGTTGAAGCATGAAGGGACGTATGAATCTTTAGTGCATCTGGCATGTAAATACCTTGTGATTCAGGCTACAACAGTGCCATGAGAATGTCTCTTCTCACTGTCAGGTGACATTGTAAACAAGAACCGGTAAGTATTATCTCCTGCAATGCAAACAAACTTGTTTGTCTGAAAAAAGAAAAGGAGTACTTGTGGCACACTTGAGCTGTAGCTCACGAAAGCTTATGCTCAAATAAATTGGTTAGTCTCTAAGGTGCCACAAGTACTCCTTTTTGCAAATACAGACTAACATGGCTGCTACTCTGAAACTTGTTTGTCTGAGCGATTGGCTTAACAAGAAGTAGGATTGCATTGACTTGCAGGCTCTAACATTTTACATTGTTTTATTTTTGAATGCAGTTTTTTGTACGTAATTCTACGTTTGTAAATTCAACTTTCACGATATAGAGGTTGCACTACAGCACTTGTATTAGGTGAATTGAAAAATGCTATCTGTTTTTTTACAGTGCAAATACTTGTAATCAAAAATAAATATAAAGTGAACACTGTACACTTTGCATTCTGTTGTAATTGAAATCAATATATTTAAAAATGTAGAAAACATCCAAAAATATTTAAACAAATGGTATTCTATTATTGTTTAACAGTGCAATTAATTGTGATTAATTTTTTTAATTGCTTGACAGCCCTAATCTGGACCTGATCATGATCATAATCATAATCAGACTGGAAAAATACTCTCTCTCAGGATGAGTTGGACTCTGGCTTTGGGAAAGCTATGAGCAGCTTTACAGGCACTAGAGCTATCCATCTTCAGGCTGGAGAAGTCGGTATTGCATGAATTCTCATTCAGTAGGTTATTGTCACAAACAAAAGGAGTAGAAAAATGTATTTAATTGCAGCGCTCATTTAACAGAAATTCATGGTTTTGCAAACACTGTTCCAACTCCCCCACTAGTGGAAACCTTGCTTCTCGCTGCTGACATAGGTGGGTGGATTTTTCATATCCCATTTTTAGAAGACATCAACCACACAACCTCATTTGGTGCTTTTGCTGTCTACAAAAGAGACTTATGGAGCCCAATGAGTACTGTGTAGCAGAACTCCTGCCCAGTTACATGAAGGTTGGAAAACCAGTTTGTGAGAGAGATGACTACAGTTTGTATCCACCTTCTTTGTTTTAGGAAGTCAGTGGTGTCTCAAAGATAGCTGGGAGTGCTGGGACTGTAGGGCCTGAGGAGGGAGTCTACGTAGCCAGACAATCCTGCTGTCAGGGTGCCAATGCCTGAGATGATGGGGCATCCAGGATTTCCAGGTTTATGGATCTTGGGCAGCAGATAGAATACCCCTGGTCGGGGTTCCAGGGGTGTGTCTGTGCGGATTTGTTCTTGTGCTTTTTCAGGGAGTTTCTTGAGCAAATGCTGTAGTTTCTTTTGGTAACCCTCAGTGGGATCAGAGGGTAATGGCTTGTAGAAAGTGGTGTTGGAGAGCTGCCTAGCAGCCTCTTGTTCATATTCCGACCTATTCATGATGACGACAGTACTTCCTTTGTCAGCCTTTTTGATTATGTTGAAATAGTGCAAGTTTCAGCGATTTAAGCAGCAATTGGATTGAAAATGAAATTTACAAGGGCAGATGCCTGAACAGCTGTGGCTCTTAACAAGCAGTTTAATTGTCAATTATCCAGTTATTGGGATACCTGGTTTTATGAATGAATGTAGTTTCATTCATAAAACTTTACTTATGAAATTATATTAATAAAGTGAACAATTAAAAACAATTTCATTAATCAGTTCTACATATGCACGTTAAAGGTATCTGCTTAGAATCAATCAATCACTATCCTATTACTTATTCAACTTACTGTAATGCCTTTAATTTTTTTTTCTTTTTTTAGGATATGTTGGAATACCTGTGGTATCATTATTTGAGTTTGTAACTTGTAAACTACTGTGAGGGTAATAAGTTGAAAAATTAGGGAGTTATTGTTGCCATGCTCCCATTATTGAGTCAAAAATGCATGAGTGAAGATGTGTAGCATCATGGCCCTGTGTCATCTTTTTGAAGTTAAGAAAGTTGGGCTATTTTCAGGCCTCAAAATGTTGTTTCACCGCATTTATTTTTCAAACATTGTTAAAGCATTAATTGTTAAAAGCTGCAAATATGCCAAGTTTAAAGTTCTTAAATCAGATTTTTAATCGGAATAAAATATGGTTGAAATAGTTCAATTACATTTACTAATGAAAAGTCTTAGTTAATGTTTAAACTCATTAATGCAAAATATTTCACTGTAATCATATTCCTCTGGCAACTGTTCGAAAAAAGTATAAAATACTTTTAAAAAGATGAACAAATACAAATAAATGTATCTTTAGCTGTTCTTAGTCTAAAGGGAAAAAAAGCGTTTTGTGGGCTGAAGCCCAAGCATGACAAAATCTGTCAAAATATTATTTTTAAACAATTGTAGGTAAACAGAAAATAAGGGTTGCAAGTTAGTGCTCTCTAACTCTTACACAAATTGGCAAGTTTTAGTTATCTGTATGATATATACCCACACATGTTCTTTGATAAAGCATAATTACTTAAGATAGGAAGCTTTGTAATTGAATCAACAGCTGGAGTTGTTCATACAGCCTTTTTTTATTATGGATCACTGAATCTCATGCAGTAAGGATATCTTTCTCCCATTCAGTATTCTTTAATCAGTTTGCTACTTACTTTAGTTTTCCTGCAGGAGCTATTATATAGAAAATATTCTAGTCACCGTATCCTGTAATTACAAAGAAGTAAATTGCTAAAAATTGGTTTGTTTGACATTCTGTGCTTCTGATTTTTTTAAAAGAAAAATAAACAGTAAAAAGAAAAATAAGTGTGATTCAAAATCTTTAAAAATTCAGGCTAATGAATATCAGTAGCACTCCATTTTTTTTCAGTCTGTGGACCTTAACTTCATACTAGATTATTTAATACAGCAATTCACATTTCTTGGCTTGTCTTCTCTACAGTGTTAGCTCAAAGTATAGGTTTAGTGTTGTCCCTCCCCAGTTCCCATGCACACACAAAGATCTCTAGCTTCAGCTAGGTGGTGCGTTTTGACCTGTTGGGGGTTGTGGGTTGAAGGTCCAAAGGCTGCTGATGCTTGAGCTGTAATGCAGCGGGGACTCAACTACTCTGTTGCTGCTATTTCAAATGCTTTGTGTTGTTTTGCAATGTGACTGTTCGTACTGGAGCTAGGTTAACTTGAGAGCAGTTGAGCTAACTGTAAGTTGAACTAACACTGTAGCAAAGACAGGCCCTCAATCAATCACCTTCATTTTCTCTCCTCTGGTAGTCTTTTGGACTGTAGTTTAAAAACAACTAACCTCTGAGATGTTGTACAACTGAAGACTTAACTTCTTGTCATGTTCAAACGTATAGCCAACATGAGTACTCAGAGATGGTTCTGACAAACATTACTATTTAAGAGATTGCCTGGGAAGAGAGAACCTTCTTTTGGCCAGTGAAAATCCAGTCTTCATTAAGTTTTGTTACTTGAGTTAGATTTTACAGCTATGATTGGTTGAGCAAGTGATTCTTCTGAACAGATTGATCTCATTCAGTTTATGTAAATCTATGACCGTTGTTGATTCTGTCTGGAGCACTTTTCTTTTGTCCTATTCACGTAGCTGATTTCTGGTGTTTTGATTGTGCAGTGTAGGATGAAAGAGACAGTGTTTATGCCTCACAAACCTCTTTCCATAAAACATGAATTAATTCCAACTTTGGAGGACCCTGGAGAGCAGAGTTGATCTGGCAGCACGTGTTGCACATCATCCTCTTTCCCCGCAACCTCCTGTGCTTGGCGAATGGCGCCTTGGCTGCATGCCAACACTTTGATTACGCAAGGATTACTGTGTCCTAGTTATCCAAACAAAGACAGCTTTAAGGAACATACATATCACACCTAGGTCATATAGTCAGAAAAAGCTATCTCTGACAGAATTGCACTGAGCTGGGATCAGGCTTTCCCTGGTGGTAAGTTGGTGTCAGAATTGTCAGCTTCCAAATGATGGCTTGCTTAGTGTGCTAAATAAATGTACAGCTGTCAATTAGGAAAACTTGTTACATCACCACTAGAGATAAGAAAAGTAGTTAGAATCACCATTTTAAAACATTAGAAAAGGTTTTGATTTACAAATTACTCTATTATTGAATGCCTTGCAGTAAGATTGGCAAATGTTACTTTTTGTATTTGTTGGTTTTCTTTTAATGGATTAAAATCACAAAAATCCATGTATTTGGCCACTTTAATGTTAAAGGTATGTAAATGAGGATGATAAATACATTTTAAGAGAATCAGTGATTCTGTGTGTCTGTAATACACATACTTCTAGTAGTAAGAGTGGATAGAATGTTTTAAATTAGATTTAATTCTGAGATTTATTTTCATTTTATGATTGTGTTTAATACATTCAGTAATTGAGTACACACGCAAGCACTGTACTTTAAATTTCTCAGAAAGGTTACATCAGAAATTGTTACCACAATCACATAGGCAAGTCAAGGACTCTAAAGGAGACAAAATAGTCTTCTGATAATCGTACTATTATAAATTGCTACATATCAAGCTATTTCATTACTTCAGCTGTAGCAGTTGAAAAGATACTTTTTAACATTCAGAACAGAGCCTTGAAGGTAAATCCTCTTACTCAGGATTTGAATTTCTATAGACTGCTGTCTGCCTTGAGGTATTGTATGTCGTCTCTGAACTGCAGCGGCCTCTCCTGCATAACAACTATTTCACACAGCAGTAGACCGCTTCAGTACCGCAATATTTGTGTGAGGTGCAGATGTTTGCTAGCTGCTTCTGTTTGTTGCAGAAATGGGAGTTGGAAATTAACAGTGTTTTGTAAATTTTGGTGTTGACGGTAGTAACTTTTGGAATTGTGGCTGATTAGCTTAATTTATTAATATGCATGATTTATTTTTTTTATCTGTATTGACTACCTGAAAAGAGGCTGCCGTTTATTGTAACCAACTAGAGGTGTAGGGTGGTTCATGTGTGTTTGACTGCTTGAAAGATTGTTGGTTTTGTATATGCAGCTTTGCAATAATTGTTTTGTATAAGTGCCTTGTTGTTTTTCTGTAAAAATCTGTATACGTCTTCTGAATTATCTGTAGTTTTACAGTGTGATTTGCTAAATGGTGCAGTCAGAAATGAATAACATTTTGCAATATTTGAGATGATGTAGTGGAATTTGAAATTGTAAGGTAATGTGTGTGCGTTTTTTCCTATTTAGTGATTTAGCAGCATTGGTGAGAATATTCCTGCTGTTTCACTGTGTAGTGTTGAATACGGGTAGATTTAAATGCTGAAATGGGCAGTCCTACTTATGCAGTTATCTGTTCTCTCTCACTGGGTCTGATGAACATAACCATTCTGAAAAGGAACCGCCAAATAAGTGTCAAACATTTCATTTTTGATCGGTTTATTTTGTACAATAGTATTACTAGGTAAAAGCAAATCTGTACCTTTCTGTTTTATGCTAAACATTAATAGGTGATGATAGTGTCCGTGTAAAATTTGGCCCTTGCACAGGCTTAAATATACAGGTCTCTACATCTTTTTCTGTCAGAAAAAATGTAAAGTAGACCTTTTTGATTAATTTCTTTTAATCATTTTTAAGTTGCCTGCTTAGTATTGCTATGGTAACAGACCAAAGGATGTCTCTGGGGCACACAACCTGCATTGCAATGCAAGTGAGAGGAGATTTTAACTTCTCTATCACTGCTGAGCCCTAGAAAAGAAAACAGGCAAGTCTAAGCAATAAGCTAATATTAATGTTTTGGTTTAACATTTTCATTTTATTTTAGAAGTCGTGTGTCCAGTGTTTTCTGTGTTCTTTTTGGTGATTGAATTGTTCAAAAGTATTCATGATGCTGATATGATAAACTAGGGTTTATAATTAATGTTGAGATGACTTCATTTTTGGCAACTATTTGTGTGCATGGATGAAGTTGACAGAATGCAGTGAGGATGTCTGTTCCATTTATGTATGGCTTAGAGAGCATCCTTGTAATTGGTGGTGCAGCATTAGTCTTTATAATTTAATTTATCTTGAATTGTAACACTGTAATTATTTTTTTTTATTTTATTTTACTTTGATTTTAAGCTGGTCATAGATATTTTTAAGTAAAAATCCTATATATTATGGACCCTTGTTATAGTATCATTCTTGCAAGTCAAATTCTATTGAGATGTTATGGGAGTGGTATCCTTGTTTTTACAGCTTTCTTGAAAAGAGGGTGAGTGCATCGCTTTCCCTGGAACTTCATTTTAAATTTTCTTGTTTCATTAATAACAGCTACTGTTGCTTACCTGCTTGGTACTCTAGCTACCAGCAAATAAAATGCCATACTTGCATACTAACAAGATTACATATAATTGTTCAGTAGCCTCATTTACATGATTTATATTTCATATTAAATTTGGATTTAGTCAGTATCTAAACATTGCTGCTACATTGCTGTTGCAATCTGGATTACAGATTGCTGTTACAATCTGGATTACAAATCAAGTATCTTATCCGCTTCATTGAAATTTAGTACTTGCTGTAGGTACCAATATTCAGTAGGCCTTGTACATTGCAGTAAGAAAATATTAATCCAAGCTCTACACTGTATGTAGGAGATTTGTTTTCTGTAAAGTTTCTTGAAAAATGCTGAAGCATTTAAGTTTGTATGCATATTCCATCTATTTGGATATACCCAGTTACTCTTAGGTCTCAGTTTCCATGTTAATGCTGTTCATTGAATTAATGTGAAACTTGCACAGCAGAACCTCAGAGTTACGAACACCCCAGGAATGGAAGTTGTTTGTAACTCTGAAGTTTACAACTGGACATTGACTTAATACAGCTTGAAAACTTTACTATGCAGAAGAAAAATGCTGCTTTTAACCATCTTAATTTAAGTGAAATAAACACAGAAACAGTTTCCTTATTTTATAAAAACTTTTTTAAACTTCCCCCTCCCATTTTTTTTTAGTGGTTTACACTTAACACAGTACTGTACTGTATTTCCTTTTTTTCCTTCTTTTGATCTCTGCTGCCTGACTGCGTACTTCCGGTTCTAAATGAAGTGTGTGATTGACTGGTCAGTTTGTAACTCTGGAATTCATAACTTTGAGGTTCTACTGCAAAATGTTTGGTCATGTCTAAACTTTCCTGTAGACAAACTTTATTACTTTGATTGGAGAAGGGGAATGCTTAAGAAATAAATTCAGAGTTTATATATTTTTTAAAATGAAATCTTTTATAATATTTGGTACAGACAGAGACAATTCCAAACATTTTACAGAAGCTATCTTTTAAAATAAAAACTGGGACAATTGATTTCTAAGTGGTTTTGAAAATTGTAGCTTTTTATATGAAGTCATTTATTTTTAATGCTTTAATATCTTGATAAACAGATGAGATGCTCCAAATCACTGTACTTCTGAATCTATTTTATTTTTCTGTAGTAAATATACCATTTAATGACTTGCATGTTTATTTGCATGGGACTCTGAAATAGCTGTGACTTGGTCTCAGTTGTTGTGAAAGTCAAATAAATGCTTGAACAGATCTTGACAATTCAAATGATTAAGTCATTCTTTTAGAAACCCGCTACCCTAACTCTTTTCATAAAATGTCTATTCTAAACTTAATTGTTAGAAGTATTGTCATTTAATTGCGTGAAACATTCTGTAAAATTATTTTACTTTCCTCTAATGAAACATCTGTTAAAGATAAAATTTCAAAAGATTATATATGTTTTTGCATTTCAGCCTAGCTGACTCATGTAAAATAGTATATTTGCTTTTACATATAAAAATTTGTTTCTGTATTAAAATAATTTCTCAATTATGAATATCAGAAACAAGTAAACAATATTAATTCTTTTTCAGCATTTTCAGTTAGCTTTGGTTGACAGCAATCCCTGCACTTTGTCCAATGCGGAAAGTAAGTATTTTTAAGATTTTTGATTTATGTATTTTGGTGTATTTTGTTGCATATATAGAAAAATGCCATATATACAGAGCTATAACTGTTTTTAATTTACCTCTTTTAAAATGGCAGTTTTGGACAATGAGTACTTTAGGAATTTTCCTCATAGAATTGTTGAAGCTGGTGACACTGTCTGATGTAGGTAGCTATGGTTACCCAGGCTGCATAAATGAACATGAAACCAACTACTGTGAATAGTTTGTGTCAAATATAGATGTGCCAGTGGAATTATAGAATTACTGTCATCTTAGTAAATGGAAGAAATAGTGATCCGGGAGGGTCATACCTCATCAGTGTCTTTGAAGAGCTAAGGTTTGGGGAGGAATTGCTATTTCTTTTTGTTCTACACAGTGTTCGTCATATCTTATAGTTTTAAAAAGAAATCCTATAGAATTTCTATAGAATAGAATCCTAAGAATTTCTATTTTATTATAGTAATATTTTAATGCAATAGTAAAAATCCTATATTAGATATAAGAATGATACAATATTAAAGTATGAAAAATTATCTTTTTCATTATTGGATAAGATAAAATTTAGTTAAGTTGCTGTATTATCTCACTTCAAAAGCATTAATTTCATTCAGAAACATTTCTACATTTCTTCACAATCTTCCATTTGAACATGGATCAGATTTACAATGTACAGTTCTTTGGGTGCTTGTGCATGTCCATTTCATTCTAGATGTGTGCTTGTCAGTGCACCAAAGCTGAAGAATGTTTTCTCTTACCAGTACCCCTCAGGGCAGCACATGCACCCTCATGCCAGTAGCCAAGGTTAAAAAGTGGTAGAGCTGTCCTAACACCCCCCGCCCACCCCCTGCAGTTCCTACTCACCTGTGGTCAGTAGTTGGTTGGAGGGGGTGTGTGTGTGTGTGAGAGAGAGAGAGAGAGAGAGAGAGAGCGCTTCTCAAGCTCTTTCCTGTTCTCTGTTTAGGAAAACTTGAGGTGTTTGTATTGTAAATAATTAGTTTAGTACAGCTGTAGTTACAATTTCCGTTAGTGGTACTCCTCATGAAAAAATTCTTGGTTCTTATCTTATTTTTGTTTGAGGTTTTAGCTCAAAACTGGGGCATGCCTAACTCTGTGGGGTTTAGGTGTTGTTGGGGCTGTAACAAATCTATGCCGGTCAGCGATCCTCACGCCACTGTTTAAAGTGTTTGGGAGAAAGGCACTTGAGGCATAAATGCACCATCTGAAGCAGATTTAAGACCAGGGCTAAGAAGTTGAGAGAAATTCAACATAAGAGAGATCCTGATAAAAGCAGCTTTGTGCCACCCAGCTTCTTGTTACATGTGGATTCAAACATGACTCCATCTCAGAGCATGCCACCGGACTTCTTGGTGGCATCCCCACATCACAGAGAGCCAAAGAGACGATGTCATTCTCTATATCTGATACTGCACAAACAGCAGAAAAAGTCCAGCACTTTGACTTCTGGCCAGAAGAAGCCCTCTCCCTCTTTGAGGGCTAGGTGCCCAACAGACTAACACCAAATGAAGATCAGTACTGAGGTTAATGCAAAGTCGTCTCCTGCTAGGCACCTTCCGGTACCTCATTCTAACAGTGTAGAGTTGTTGACTGCAGCACCTCATGAAGTATTATTGAGACCTACTCCATTGCCAGGACCTTCAGAGGCATCAGCTCCTATACAGAGGATGCCTGAGGTATACACAGTGGCCAGGGTTCTCCTATGTCTATCGGTGCTGGACTCACCACTGATGCAGGATGTGGTCCGGGAATCGACTATTCTTACCACACAGGCCTCAGTACTGCGATCTTTCATTTGCACCTGCATGTTCAGCGCTATCTGGGACTGAATCTTTGTTGGTACTGTCAGGGTATGGAAGCTCTATTGTGCAGCAGGGCAGATATATGGTCCCTTCAGGAGGAAAGCTTTGGATGCTGCTTCCAGTACTGTGTCTCTCGCATTGGTCCAGGTCCCAATTTCTGTCTACTTCTCCTCTCCTAGACAGAGGTCTGCCAAGATCCCCATGAAGGTGCTGTTCTCCATCTGGTACTGTAGCAGCTGAAGGACCTTATCCCTCCAGTATCTGATCCTTCTGTCACAGATGTTCAGCAGACTGACACTATAGTGTCTCTGTTCAGCACTTCTTCATCCTCACCAGATGAGGATGCGCTCTCAAATGTCATTCTCCCCTGTTCTGAATTATAAAATGTACCAGGAACTTAAGAAAAGGGTAGTCACATCACTCGGAGTGCCAATTGGACTGGTCCAGGATTATACACGCAAGTTAGTGTGTATATTACATTCTGAAGGACCTGCTAGAGGGGCTCTGCCTCTGAATGAGACCATCTTAGAACCCACCAAAATTCTTTAGCAAACTCACTTTTCTCTGACACACCCTGCCAAAAGAATGGAGAAGAGATACCAAGTTCCCTCCCAGGGGCATGAGTATTTCTATTCACAGCCAGCCCCAGGATTTTTGGTGGTGGCAGCTATGAATAAGTAAGTGAGACAAGGGTAATCTAAATTTACTCCCAAGGGCAAAGATGCAAAAAGCTTGGATTTATTTCAGAAAAATGTTTATTCTTCATTAGGATTGCAGTTAAGAATTGAAAACCATGAAGCTGTCTTAGCTTATTATGATTACTCCAGTTGGGACTCAATGTTGAAATTTGTGGACAAGTTGCCAGGTGATGCTAAAAAGTTCAGAGCTCTTATAGATAAAGGCTGCCTGATAGCAAGATCGTTGTTATGGACTGTATGAGATGAGGCGCAGATTCAGCAGGTTGGGTGATGGCAACGACAGTCACTGTGCATCGTGGTTCTTGGCTGCAGTCGTCTGGCATTCCAGCTGAAGTCCAGCAAACAATTGAGGACTTCCCCTTTCAGGGCACAAGTTTACTTTCTGGAAAGACAGACAAAGCTTTATATTTTCTTAGATATAGGGCAACCCTTAAGTCTTCGGGCATATATACCCCAGGCCCTAAGAGAATGCAGTTCCACCCTCAGCTCCAGCAGAGGAATCTGTTCTACCCAATAAGGCAGCCGGACTAATCCAGGAGATTATATAAGTTTCAGAGGAAGAGAATATCTCTGCCTCTATTTTCTGCTACTTCCATACAATCTGTAACATCTAAGCAGTTTATTTGACTCCTTAGTCAAGGCCAGTGAACCGCTCACCCTAATTTTTTCTCCCTTTTGGCAGCAGGGTTCTCACACTATGGAACTGGAATATATACTGCAATTTACCTCTATTTCTCCCCCCTCCTGCCCTTCCACCACCTTCTCCCTATCCCTGTTCAGGGGCCATTCTCACAAGACTATATTAATTCAAGAAGTTCAGTCTATTACAGTTAAGGGCAGTGGAGGAAGTACTTCCTCAGCATTGGGTGAAGGGAGTCTGTTCTCACTATTTTCTCATTCCAAAGTCCAAGGGAGGCCTCAGGCCTATTTTAGACCTACAAACCACAACAGATACATAAAAAAGAAAGTTGTGTGTGGTTACTCTAACATCATTTCACAAAGGATTTCTTTTTGGATCTCCTCCTGTATTTGTACTACAACATTGCTGCAACTCCACTATCTCACAGAATTTTAGCACACTCTACAAGAGTGCAAGCAGCATTGGTTGATTTCTTGGTTTGCGTTCCTTGGTTTACAGGGTTGAAGCTTGGTCATCTGTTATCCTGTCTGTAGACTGCAGTGATTAAAGGATTCCTAGTTCCATGTGGCCATTCACCAGAACCACTGGAGGCTTTTTAGATTTGTTGCAGCAGATGTTTATCCGTTTATGGTTCTCCCTTTCAGCCTGTCATCAGCCCTTTGAGTCTTCACAAAGTGCATGGCAGTGGTTAAGGCACATCTCGGGAAGGCAGGGATCCAGGTGTACCCATGTCTGGACAGCTGGTTAGTTCGAAATCAGTCCAGACAAGTAACAATGGCCACTGGGAAAATCCAATTCCTCTTCCATTTGTTGGGACTGTTGATCAAGGACAAATCAGCTGTTTTCCCTGTACAGAGAATCAAATTCATAGGAGAGGTTTTTGGCTCGACCACAGTTAGTGTATTTACCTCAGGCGATATTGTAGCTATGCAAAAACTTCAAGGCATATCCTTGTACGACAGAGGAATTGCCTGAAATCTCTAGGTCACATGGTGCCTTGTACATATATAACTCACAATGCCATACATCACTTCAGAGTCATGCAGAGGTGGTTGAAGTCTCTCTACCATCCCTCTTGTTATCCACTGGACATGCTGACTCACATACCTGCAGGTGTTTGATCATCCCCGGAAAGACTGTACCGGTGTATGCCATAGGGTTCGTTTTGTCCCAGCCTTGCCCTCCATGAACCTAATCACACTTCATCTCTCAGTTGGGGAGCTCTTCGAGGGGACTTTCATACTCTGGGTCTCCGGTCAGGTCAAGATCTCCTTTCCACATAGTGTTTGAGAGTTTCCTGCTGTCCACCTGGACAGTCAACTTTTCCTTCCTTCTTTGATAGCATCTGCCTGGCCCCACCAACATTAGTCATAAAACCTGTTGAGCCTTTTGATTCAAGATACTATACCTCTCCCTGAGGTCTGAGGTATGGTTTCACAGAACCATGGGCACGTTGCCTCCCAGCCCACTTAGCCTACACTTGGCTGCTTGGATGCTCAATAGTTAATTCCCCATGAAGCAGTCTGTTCTCTAAATAGCAGAAAACCCTCCATCAGTTATACTTACCTCAAGAAATGGAAGAGGTTATCTGTGTGGCCCCTTCACAGGATCAGGTCACCTTATTCTGGATTATTTGCTTCACCTCAAGGAAAAAGGACTTTGTCAGTTCCTTCTGGGTTCATCTGGTAGCTGCTTCTGCAATCCAATCTGCTGTAGAAAGGTCACTTTTTTTCCAGCCCTCTGATTGTTAGATTCTGAAATTTTGGACAAGTTCTTCCCACCTGTTAGGGCCCAACACCATCCTGGGATCTGAATTTGGTTCTGT